CATATTTCTAGTAATCTAATTTATAAAAGTTGTATATAAATATAAAAGTTTAGCTTCCACAACAAATGTTCATGTTCTAAACTAGCCAACCTGATAGTATAGGATAATAGCAAACGCCATTACAAAATTTATGTCGGAGACTCGGAGATGGGTTCGTTTTATAGAAATCAAGAGGAGTCACCATGATATTTTTAGGTGATAAAAAATGGAAAACAAAAATCATCTTTTATCTAACGAAACAATTTTGGAGGAAAAGAAGAACATTTTAACTAAGACTACTAAATTCTCATAAGTATTTCGATTAACATCGTTGCCTCTATTATTATATGTTTATATTTTTATTACAAATTTTTAATGGACTACATTATCCTAATTTGCTGCTTTGTAGAATATGTACGGACATGGACCGGACGAATTAGGAGTGTACGTATAACGTCATTGGACTGGTCTTGGTATATATCCAATTAATTCACTTTCTAGTTTCAATGAAATCAGGTTGAGATCCACTCTCGAATTTTTATATCCTTATAATAACATCATTTGTCAAATCGAATTCATCTCTTTCTGTCAGTCAGCATTTGAAACATTTTTTTTTTCGTTTATAGTTGGTAGTTATATCAAATATGTTGTCCAATGATAATCTTTGTATCAAACCTGTCCACTGAAATTACGATTAAATCCAATAAATTATGAAAACAAACTCTTTGTGGTATCGAGTTAAAAAGGAAAAAATTGGTTTTCTTCCACAAAATCCAATACAATACATAATGAAATGGCACAACTTTGTCCATGATTCTGAATCTCTGATCATGAAATATACGAAGAACCTAGCAGTTTTTTCTGTTTAATAAAAATTCCCATGTTACCTTTTAAATATAAAGAAAATAAAATTAATTGCCATAGTACATTCTTTAGTTAATAGACTAATACTTATTACCAAACAATATTTCTGGGACTTGTTCAAAAAAAAAACAATATTTCTGGTCATTTCCAACTAATAATAGACCCTACTTGGAAAAAAAAAATCAAACCAAGGGTCAAGGTCAACAATATTAACGTATCTATTATATTAACCCTAATTAATCAAAACCGCACACATAAAAGATACCACGAACTTACTATAAAATCTCAAAAACCAACTCCTTTCCTCTTCACAATAAATTCTCTTTCAAAACACTTCAAAGCAATGGCAAAGCAAATACTATACGCTCTCTTTCTAGTCCTCTTATCAACGACGGATCTCACTACGGCCTCCTCAGCCGCTGCCGCAGGAACTTCGAAACGCGCAATAAACTTCATACAAGCCTCTTGCAAAGCCACCACATACCCAACAATATGCATCAGCTCTCTCTCCGGTTACGCAAACTCCATCCAAACAAGCCCTCGACGTCTAGCCGAAACTGCACTCACCGTGACTGTTACCCAAGCCCAGTCCACAAAAGTCTTTGTCTCACGGTTGGCCCGTTTCAAAGGTCTCAAGAAACGAGAGGTCCAAGCCATTAAGGACTGCATCGAGGAGGTAAATGATACCGTTGACCGTTTGACCAAATCGATCCATGAAGTGAAGATGTGTGGCAGTGCTAAGGGTCATGACCAGTTTTGGTTCCATATGAGCAATGCTCAGACTTGGACCAGCGCTGCTTTGACTAATGCCAACACTTGCTCCGATGGATTCTCTAGACGGATCATGGATGGTCGGATCAAGAACTCGGTTCGTGCACGGATAGCGAATTTGTCAAGAGGAACTAGCAACGCTCTAGCTTTGATCAATGCTTTTGCTCAAAAATACTAATGAATACGTTTTTTTTTTTTTTATTATACAGTTTGAGCTACAAATGTGTAAAAGCTTTAAAGAATCTTGAATTCAGATCCGAAGTTTCTGGATAAATTTTGATATTAAAAGGCTTTACAACAATATATTTTTTTTTAATATGCGTTTTCAGTACATTAAAGGCTTTATCAACAATCTGAGATTTCTGCGGTTGGACGACAAATCCACGTTGACCGTTGTTGACGCCGACACTCATTAACACAGTTGACTTTTGAGTCAGATCTCACTCTAGAGTTATTAATTACTAATATACCCTTTCAATTATTTAGAAATTACGCCTCAACCTAACCCTAATAAACCGGTCCCACCATCTCTTCTGACCATCGCCGTATAACGCCATCTCCGCCACTTCTGTTCTTTGTCGCCGCCGTGTAACCGCCACGTAAGTTTGCGATTTATGATGTTTCTGATCGGATCAGTTGCTGACGTGGCTCATCTGAAGAGTAATTGATATTCATGATTAATTGATTAGTAGCTTAATTTGGTAAACTTAAAATGGTTAAAAATTTAATTAAAATGATTTGATATTTCATTCCTTTCACAATCCTTCTTCTCTTCACACAGATAGAAGAAGAAGCGATTCCAAATGGCTCTAACACTCCGAGTTTGTTCGTCTCCTTTAATCTGCAGAGCCACTCTCGCAACCGGCGACAACGGTCGTAACCACCACGCAAACGATGCCGCCTTCATCCGCCGCGCCGCCGATTTGGCCGAGATGTCCGCCGGAGTTACATCACCACACCCTAATTTCGGATGTGTAATCGCCACTTCCTCCGGAAAAGTAACCGGAGAGGGATATCTATACGCACAGGGCACTAAACCGGCAGAAGCCCTCGCCGTTGAAGCCGCCGGAGAGTCTTGTAGAGGCTCCACGGCTTATCTGAACATGGAGCCTGGTGATTGTCACGGCGACCACACTGCCGTCTCTGCTCTTGTTCAGGTTTTTGCTCCTTGCTCCCAGATTTTGTCCTCGTAAAACCGATTCTGGATCACAATTTGATCAAAGAGGCTATCCAATTCGTGTAGATTAGGCAGGAATTGGACGAGTTGTTGTTGGAATTAGGCATCCTCTGAAGCATCTAAGAGGCTCTGCGATTCGTGAGCTAAGAAGCCATGGGATTGAAGTGAGTGTTCTTGGTGAAGACTTTCAGAGTAAAGTTCTCGAGGTATCTCCTTTTTAGCTCTTGAACAAGTGTTTGTTTACAAATGTGCAAACTTCACATTCTTGATTATCAAAATATTTTGTCTTTCTGTCACAGGAAGCTCGGAAATCTTGCCTCCTTGTGAATGCTCCTCTGATTCATAGAGCTTGTTCTCGTGTTCCGTTCTCTGTTCTTAAGTATGCCATGACTCTTGATGGTAATTATGTCGACCTGCATTTCATATGGATAGATGAAAGTTTGCAGCTAAATCGTCTCTTTGTTTATTGATAGGTAAGATTGCAGCAAGTAGTGGACATGCAGCATGGATAAGTAGTAAACTCTCTAGAACCCGAGTGTTCGAGTTACGAGGGAGAAGTGATGCTGTGATAGTTGGAGGAAACACTGTACGCCAAGATGGTATATAATGCACCTTTATAGAGATGTTTGCAACTGAAATATATAATATCCTGGAAAGTTATGTGACTCTGTTACTGCAGATCCTCGTTTGACTGCAAGACATGGACATGGCCACACGCCTACTCGGATTGTGATGACTCAGAGTCTTGATCTTCCCGAGAAAGCCAATCTATGGGATGTCTCGGAAGTATCTACCATTGTTGCTACACAAAGGGGTGCAAGAAAGAGTTTCCAGAAATATCTTGCGTCCAAGGGTGTTGAAGTTGTGGAGTTTGACATGTTGAATCCAAGAGAAGTCATGGAATATTTTCATCTCCGTGGATATCTCTCTATTCTATGGGAGTGTGGTGGTACCTTAGCTGCATCAGCTATATCATCCGGTGTCATCCACAAGGTACCCGTTACTATTGCCATACTCTATATGTAGTCATCTTATGCTATCTTGGAAAATATATGTATCGTTTTGGGAATGGAGTAAGAATCAACATTGTGGATATCTTCCAATAGAAAAGCAGATAATACAAGTTTTAGTAGGCAGACATAAAACAATTATTTTTTAATTTCCGCAGATTTGTCTGGCTAAATCTCATTTTCATGCAGCTTGTGAGATTAGTGTTTATAGCTCGTTGCTTATCAATGTTTAAGACTGTTTTTCTCTTTTATGTAATTGATTTTTCCAGGTTGTTGCTTTTGTTGCCCCGAAAATTATCGGTGGAAGGCAAGCGCCATCCCCTGTTGGTGACCTCGGGATGGTAGAGATGACACAAGCATTGAATCTAATCAATGTTTGCTATGAGCAGGTAATATTTCCTCTTTATGACTTAACATTCACAGTGACAAGTTACACATTGAATTCCGTCTCTTAGTCTTAGGGATTTAATCTACATCCTTGAAAACTACAGGTTGGTCCTGACATGCTTGTCAGTGGATTTCTCCAGCCCATACCAGACCTTTTACCTGTTATTCCTTCAGAGGATGCAACTTTTGAAATTGACCCCAGTGTTAATCCCTTTGAATCTAGTATCATATTCTTCTACAAAACATGGGACCTTTATGGAAGCTTCTCAAATTTTTCTCCGCATCCAATTCGCATGCCTTATGGCGAGGAGAATGATGATTACAGAACATGGTCCAGTGTGGAACATTACTATCAGGTACTACAACAATGTCTATGTAAACTGTATCTTGTTCTTTCAAAATTCTTAATCCATTACCCAAAAACATTAAGGCAAGCAAGTTTGTTGGGGTCGAAAATCCGTTGGCACATGACTGCGTTGAGAATATAAGAACGGCAAGAAGTCCAGAGGAGGCTGCTCTGATAGGCAGATCAAAGCAGAGACAGCAACCTGAACTGGTATGAACAAAATCTCAACTGTCCAGTTTCAAGCAACAAAGCAGTTTTCACTTGTTCGCTGATCTCTCAAGATTGTTCTATACGGGATCAATAATGCTGTATTACATGCTTTAATGGTTGTTTTAGGTTCGGGAAGACTGGGAAGATGTGAAGATAGAAGTAATGTACATGGCTCTGAAATGCAAGTTCTCGACTTATCCTCACTTGAAATCAATGTTGCTCTCGACGGCTGGATCGGTTCTTGTGGAGGCTTCACCGCACGATCTATTCTGGGGAGGTGGTCGCGACGGAGAAGGGCTCAACTATCTTGGTCGACTACTTATGCAGCTTCGTTCTGAGTATATTAGTGAATCCTCTGTTTCAGCTGAAAACGCTTCTTTGGCCTGATGATGGGATTTTGGATAGGCTTTCATAATTTATTCCAAAGCAATAAAGTTTCAGTTTTGACGTTTTACATTATTGTAATTCTTCAACTTGTGTAACATTTTTGTAAGCTTGTAACATTCTGATAGTTTTCTCGGCCGTCGGATTCTTGTTAACGATATAATTTAGTCACGTCCATGCAAAGCGACTTGGACACGCTTGAAAAAAATATATTGAACTAAGTTAAAAAAATATATTTGCATTGTTCAGTTTTGAAAGTGTACAAAACAAATTGTATTCAATACTCATACATTAGATTTAGTTTCAACAATACAATTCAATTGTTACTTGGTTCGGTCCCGAACAGTGTAAATTCCAAGGCTTATATGAACACTTTTCCTCAGGAAGACATTTGCTGTGTTCAATCCTCAAGAAAACACTAGGTACCGACGTTTTGAGAAAATCCATAATCTAGATAAATAATATACAACATAAAGGTAAAAATCTAGTTATTATATACCGGAAATGTTAAATTCAATTGCAATAATATGTATAATTGAAATTATATAGTAACATAAACAAAGATTATTGAAAGAGTTTGCGTATGCTTGAAACTACAAGAGTATAAACTGAGCTAAAAGCACATGGAAGGTTACTTTAATATTGGAAAAACACTTCCTTCTTCTTCTTCCTTTTAAGTCACTTTTCCTCCTCTTTATTCATTTGACATTTTTTTTTTCTATAGATTTCTGAATATATTGTGGAATCAATTACAGGCATCTACATAGAGGATTGATATTATTTAATTTTATAATCATAGGTTGCTAAAAAAGAATATGAGTCATGATATCATATGTATACAATCCCAAGCAAAGACAACACACATCATCATGTTCTCCCCAATAACTAATCACTTGCAAAGTACATACACACAAACTCAAGATTATAATTCTAAAAGAAATGATTATTAATTAATTCAATATACAAAATCATATCCCTTTAATTAGTTAAGACATCACACCATGAAATTTCCCAATTCCCCATACAAATTCCCCATACAAACTCATATCCAAGAACTTCAAAAAAAAAATGCTTAGAGGTATCTTCCACATTTGCCTCTTGGCATCATTTCTTCTTCTATCATTCTCCTCCGCCGTGTCCGATGGTAACTTCACCGGCGGACCCGTTTCTCCTCCGCCGTGGGACCACAATGTTACCCCACCGCCAAAAACCGCACCATCCCCATCCCCCACCACGAGTTCTCCTACCGCCTCACCACCATCTCCTGGCCCAGCGGCTGCACCGTTTCCGACCGAAACCGGCTCTGTTTCCGGCGACATGACATGGTGGTGCAACAAGACTCCACACGCTGAGACATGCAACTACTACTTCCGAAATAGCCCACATTACAACATTAACCGACCACCAAGGCTCCGGTCCGAATTTCTACGAATGCTGGTCCGCATAGCACTTGACCAAGCCGTCATCACACACGCTCAAACCGTGAAATTCGGTCCGAGCTGCACCAACAACCAAAGGAAAGCCGCTTGGTCAGACTGCGTAAAGCTCTTCCAAAACACGGTGGCTCAGCTTAACCGAACGCTCAAGGGACTTAACCCAACGGCTTCTAATGATGTCAAGTGTACGGACTTCGACGCACAGACGTGGCTCAGCACGGCTCAGACTAACATCGAGACGTGCCGCTCCGGCTCAGAGGATCTTAACGTCTCTGATTTTGTTATGCCGGCGATCTCCAACAAGAACTTGTCGGATTTGATTGGAAACTGCTTAGCCGTCAATGGAGTCCTCATGAAGCAACATAATCACACGACTGGTACGTTCAATCATTTTACTCTTATATTAATTACTTCAAGTCGTTAGCTAGATTCCTAATCTAGGAAAATATCAGTATGTACATTAAATTCATTTTTTCATTGTAAATTTTCTCTTGCTAAAAATTTCGATGCAACGAATAAAAAAAAATGTAAAAGTGTTGCGTCTATCATAATCTTATTTTACACGTAGCCATATACTAATTACTAACACCATTCATCATACTTTCTTTTATGACTTTATCTAACTAATACATGACTTTATCTAATATGGTCATATTTCAATTTGTTTGGTTTATCAAGCTAACCACAAAGAACTCTTCCCAAGCTGGGTCACAAGACACGAGAGACGATTACTCGTATCGGCCTCTTTAGCTAGATCAATACCCCACCTAGTAGTGTCACAAGACAGGTCCGGCCATTTCCGATCGATCCAGGCGGCGATAAACATTGCAGGACGACGTAGAATCAAGTCAAGATTCATAATATATATAAAGAAAGGTGTTTACAGAGAGAACATTGAAGTCGGCAACGATAACCACAACATCATGCTCGTTGGCGACGGCGAAAGAAAAACAATCATCACCAGCGGTAGAAGCGTCCAGCGCGGCTACACCACCTATAACTCCGCAACTGCTGGTTAAAACCTTTTCTTAATATCTTAGCTAAATCCGACTTAAGATCATATCACTAATTAGATGTTCTCACTCTTAATTATTGAAGGATTTGGAGGTCAACGGTTTGTAGCAAAGGACATGACATTCATCAACACAGCAGGGCCATTACGTGGCCAAGCAGTGGCGGTTCGATCATCCTCTGACCTAGCTGTTTTCTACCGTGTTGGTATCCATGGATACCAAGACACGCTCTACATTCACTCACAACGTCAGTTCTTTAGAGAGTGTTACATCTCAGGCACCATAGACTTCATCTTCGGAAACGCAGCTGTTGTGTTTCAAAACTGCATGATTCTCGTTAGACGCCCTCTCCGAGGCCAAGCCAACGTTATAACTGCTCAGGGTCGAGGTGACCCTTTTCAAAATACAGGCATAACCATCCATAGCTCAAGGATAATCGCAGCTTCTGATCTGAGGCCTGTGATTCGAGCCTACAAGACCTATTTAGGTAGACCGTGGCAAGCGTATTCGCGTGTCACGATCATGAAGACCTATATAGACAACTCGGTCAGTCCCTTGGGATGGTCTCCTTGGTTAAGAGGATCCAATTTTGCTCTCAATACAGTTTTTTATGGAGAGTATAAAAATTTTGGACCGGGTTCTTCCACGAGGGGGCGGGTCCGGTGGAAAGGTTTCCACGCCATAACCAGCGCTGCGGTTGCTTCCCGGTTTACTGTGGGAAGCCTTATCGCTGGCGGTTCATGGTTGCCTTCCACTGGCGTGCCGTTCAAGACAGGGTTGTGAAGAGAGCCAGCATGTTCCTTAACAAAGACTATATATACTGTGTGTTGTGTCTGTAATTTATTACTGATTTATTACTGATTTATTTATCTCCTTTTTTCTATATATTTTTCAAACACGAAAAGATCATTCTATTTAAAAAGACAGTGGTATAAAAATCATTATATATTAAGAGACAGTAAATGATTAGCATTTAGCCATTTACATTCAACAAAATAATGTAAACTGTTTTCAAATAATGATTACTAGCAATGAAAAACTACAATTATATATATGAGTAGCAAAATGAAAAGAATTCAACTAAAAAGCAGAGTGAAATTCGAAACAAACAAAAGGTCATCTAAGTAGGGGTAAGATAAAAATCATCCTCCATGCTATCACCAATATACCCTAATAAACTTACCATCCCACCAACAAAACCAATTAAACCGAAACAAACCATAGCCCTAAAACCCAACCGCACCTTCTCTTTCACTTCTCTAACCACCACCTCTTCCTTAACCGCCGCCTCCGCCGGAAACTTAGTCTCTTTCTTCTCCTCCGATGACACATCCGCCGGAAACGTATCCTCTTTCTTCTCCTCCTCCGATGACGCATCTTGAAATAATAGCCACTGCTCAGCGTCTTCTTCTTTTTCTTTCCCTTCCTCTGTTTTAGTAACTTCATTAGGACAAGATTCGACCCACGAGTTAACCGAACCGGTTTCACCGTCGACAACACCATCATTAGTTTTCTTACTCTCCGTTTCCGATTCAATCACCGAACCATTATCATGACCGGACACTTGGTAGGTTTTGAAAACCTCCTCGAGTTCGTTTAGCCTTTTGGCCATGCAAGCAAGTTTCAGCCTTTCTTCATTGCCAATTTCTCCTTCCATGTCCATCGGTCGCGATGAAATCTCAGCCAATAAAAGGGTCTTGGCGAAGATAACTCGGAGTTCGATATCCCGGTAGACGTTGGGATCATCTTCGTTGAAAGTGATTATTGCTTCACGTAGAGACTCGAGTTCTTCAAGTTTCTTCTCTAAGACTGAGTTTATCATTACCTTCGTCGTCTCCATTCTCTTGATCCTCTTAAATACCCATTAATGACTTTTTTTGTCTCTCTTTTGTTTCTCGCTTAATCGCACTTTAATTACAATGTGGAATAAGGAAACTTCTAATGAAGTGGGTTGCGACGGTTACTATGAAATTATGTGTGCCTTTTCGTTCACACGTAAACACGTTACAACGTTACCTATAAAATACGTGGGTTTGGATGGTTTTTTTTTTTTCCATTTTTCTCTCCCTAATTTTTCCTATAGTTAGAAAAAAAAGGAAATTATAAAAGAGAAAAGCATATATGAAAAATATCTAGGGTTACTATGAAATCATGTGTGCCTTTTCGTGCACGTAAATACGTTACAACGTCACCTATAAATTTTAAATATGTGGGTTTGGATGGGTTTTTCTATTTTTTTTCTTTTTTGTTAACTTCTAGATTTTATTAAGAACTGATGTAATCAGAGTGTAGAGTAGATTTGATTACAATGGTGGGTACATAATTATGAAAAATAAATGATACATTGTTGGGGAGACATGCTTTGGTAAGTATATCTGCTGGTTTGTTGCCATCTCTTGGAGACCATTCAAAACGTACTTCTTCAAATCTCTTTCTCCAATTCCATGCTTCACGTATCCAGTTGAAGAATCTAAAGTTCATAGTCTTCTTGTTTAATAGATCCACTACTGCCTTACAATCGCCTTCAAAGATGACCTTCTTGTATATTTTGCTCCAGCAATTCTGCATAGCTATTATTAAAGCTTGACATTCGCTTTCAAGTGCATTATTGGATGGGTTTTTCTATTTTCCATTTCTCTCTCCCTAATTTTTCTTATAATTGATCAGAAAAAAAGAAAAAAAGAAATTGTAAAAGAGGAAAGCATATATATATACATGAAATATTAAGATGAATTCGTCCCTTAGAGGCAGTTGCATCTAGGGTAACTTCGAGGGAGAGAATTGATATTATATCAACGATGAATCCATTGACACCGGTCAAGCAGATACAGAGAATTAACTCCAAAGAATCGGATCTAGGGATCTCTGACTAAGCATCTTGGCACGCCAATTACAATGATTCAGCCTACGTTTCCGTAGGAGGCTCACCGTACGATCTCACGGAAGGTGATCTCCTCGCAGTTTTCTCACAATATGGTGAAGTTGTTGATGTGGAACTTGTTCGTGACAAGGGAACTGGAAAATCGAAGGGATTTGCGTATGTTGCGTATGAAGATCAGAGAAGCACCACTCTTGCTGTTGATAATCTGAACAATGCTAAGGTGTTGGGGCGGATCATAAAAATAGATCATTTTGGTGGTCCTGGTGGATACAAAAAGATAGAAGAGGAAGATGAAGAGACGAAGGAGAAGAAGAGAGAGGCACGTGGTGTATGCAGAGCTTTTCAGAGAAGGGAGTGTACTCCTGGAGATTCTTGCAAATTTTCCCACGATGAAAGAAGAGCTGCGAATACCGGTTGGGGTCATGCATGAAGATGGTAGAAGAAGAAGTTTCAGGTGAGAGATTTAGCTAGTGATCAAGATCGCAATGGCATTGATGTTAAATAGGGACTCTTTAGATTGATGATATCAAGTGGTAATGCTTTACATGATCAATAGTCTTTGAGTTGTAGCTAGAATAATCTATGGCAGATAAGATTGGATGACCTTTTTAGCTTACACACAGATGTTTTTTTGCTCTGTATATGTCAATTTTATTTTATTTTTAGATAAATATTAAGATGAAAATTTTGGAATTTACTGTAAATTTTACGTCATATATAATTGTAAAATAACTAAAGAAACGTTAGACCCGAATTTAAAATTGAAAAAAGGACGAAAAATAAATTATGAAAACAATGAGATAAAAAAACGACACTGAAAGAAAGAAAACATTTATCATACCAATAATGCTGTACAGATAACAAAACGAAAAGTAGAAGAAACATCATTGTTTGTATATTAATTTATACTAGATATTATTTCGTGCATCCAATTTTTTTTAATAAAAATTTTTAATATAATTTATGTTTTCTTTATAGATATAATTTTTTTAATAAATAACAAAAATTTATTTTTATGTTTAGATATAATTTGTTTTTAAATTATTTTTCTAGTATTATTATGCCCACGATCATAAAATATAATTCTAATCCGGTCATTATATTAATAAAAAAATCACTGTTATTATAAAAATATATATTTAAATTGTTTATTCTATTAATCTAAAAATGACTGTAATTATAAAACTATAATATTAACCCATCTGTTCATATCACTATAGAATACAAAATATTTTACTATTTTTTAAATAATTTTTATCTTAATATCTTGCATGTTTTAATAACCTAACCTGTATAAGACCATAATTATAAAAAAAAACTAACACATCCCATCAAATTATTATATAATATTAATATTTATTAGTTTTCAATATGTAAAATTTTGGTCTGATTGAATATGATTAAAAAAATACAATAATGTATTTGTTAATCATGTGTTATTCTGTAAATATTATTTAAATTTCAAATGTTAAATTAAATCGAATATATATTTAAGGAAGTCTAAAGTAATTTAAATTAATATCTATTTTCAGAATTAATTTAATTACAAATAATTAAATATTTTGAATTTTAAATAAAATAGAATCTTTTTTTGAACTGCAAATAAAATATAATCTATATTTAAGAATATCTTTAGATATCAAAACTAATATCTAAGTTTTGGAGTAAAATTTATATATAAAAGAAAATGTGTTTTTAAAATAATATTGTAATAAATTAGGATAATTTTAATATTGTTTTAAAAAAATTTCAAAAAACTTTAGGAGTGTTTGGAAGCAAGTACGAAAAGTGTTTATGTTTTAATAGAATAAATGACATATAAAGATTAGGTGTATATAATCTATGTTTAGGAAATTTTCGGTCCTCGAATAGGAACAAATCTCTTGCAAAACAGAAAATATGTGAATGCTTGAAAAACACGATGGGGATGTGTTTTTCCGAAGGCTCTCTGACGCTCAAGTCATAAAACAGCTCAAAAAGACTACCAAGTGGCTAATCAGATAGCAGAAAGAAGTCGGAAAACTTGTGAAGGAAAGTGGGCCGAGAGTCTTTGAAAAAAGTAGGATCTGCTCCAGCCTTTGAGTGAGAATGTGCTTTTTGCGGTGGAAAGAGAGGAAAAGAAGAGTTTGTGGGTGAAGAAGCTCTACGGTTGAGGAACCGCCGTGGAGGAGAAATGAAAAGGAATGATCGGAAAGATGGCTGGAAAAGTGTTGAGTGTCTGGACTTAAGAACCACAAGTATTTAAAGAGATATCATGGGACTTTAAGATAAGATGGCTAAGAGAGTGAACCTCTTTCTTGAAAGAAAGGGTAAAGTATCTATAAGAAGTTATCTGACCTGGGTTGGTATACCGGGTCGGTCCATAGATGGTGAGTCGGGTGGTTCAGTCCATGATCCGACTCGACTGACTTCGAATCTTATGATGCCGTCATGTTTCTAACGGTCTCACCAACTTTCTTTGGCATGTTCTGCCTGCTACGAAACCGTCCTTTGGCGCGTCCTTTAGAATGTACGAGTCGGTTCAGCAGTTTAGACGTGGTATGGCTCTTTGCTGAGCCTGTGCTTTTCTCTCTGGCTCATGCGAAAGGTCACTGTCACCTGACACACGTAAGGAAAATACATTAATTGCCAATCTCGTAGATTTGTAAGGGTATGGACAATCAAATTAAACCGAAACATATTCTTATTGTCAAATAGAGGAAAATTTGAATAGTGTTAAGTTGTTTATTCTTACCTGGCCTAGATCTCTCGATGCTGGGACAGGGCTGCTGCGGATGGATGATCTCACTCTCCGGGTACCTGTGCAGGCCACACTTTTTTATATCCCTGAATCTTCCGGATCACCGAGCTTAGGTGTAGGACATAGAGAATGTGACTTCTCCTCCTCCTGACCACTCTCCTCCTCTTAACCACTCGGTTTCCGACTTCGTTGTTTTTGACATCGTGGCCTGCGCTGTCAGACATGAAGAAATCTGGGAACATGTGATCTATCGTGCCAGATCTACAAATCCGAATGAATTCGAGGTCCAGTGCTATAAGCTTAGGTCATATTGGACAAAAAGCTCAATACATGTCCTAATTTAGCATAGGGAGACATCCCTGCAAAAAAGTAATAGACGCTAAGTGCAAGCATATATACGATTCACGTAAAAAAGATTTAATTTATCTCCAATAATATATAAATTCATAAATAGAATCTATTCATTTATACATCAGTGTATGTATAATTTATCTATACATTAATTAACTATATTATATGTAATAAAGTAGAATGTATTTATTATACATAAATTAAAAAATAAAATCTATTTAAAAGTAAACGATGTATAATTTTGTTATATAATTATGTGTATTATATATTTTATGTACATATATACTATATAGTATACACTAGTATGTACTATATACGTATCCTATATATTGAATCCTAGATACATTTTATACATTATGTATATACCATATGTATAGTAAATATACATACAATATAGTCTAATATATACTCCTAGTGTATATAATTAAGCACAGCTTCTAGTGGGATCCGATTATTTAGTTTTGATTGATTATAAATTAGTATAATTATATATATGATTTTAGGTGATTTCTCTCCATCTTTACGCCACGTCAGCACTTAGAAAGAAGACACGTGTCTATCTTTAATGTACTTTTTTCATCTTCCTCCCCACTTTCTTTAAACGTTTCTCCTCCGAAAACCACGTCGTCTCATCTTCCTCTTCTAACTGTGTATATAATAATATAAACAAAGCTATAAGTGACGGAGTTAAGATTTTGGGATCACATGATGTTCTTTATGATGGAATTGGCTCACATTACTTTTACCAATGCCAGACAGTGTTTATATTCTGAGGTTGTGAAGGTTTAATCTATTGGTAACGAAAGATCATTGCGGGTGACCGTCTTCTATGTCTGTTCCTCTAATTGCTTGGGCTTGCAATAATTTA